GTAACAATATAAACCAAAAAAAGGGAAATGTGCAACGAACCCTAAAAAGTCTGTGTTTGGTTAAGAATGGTAGGTGAGAAAGGTGGAATGACTTGACCAGAAAAACGCCTATTGAAGTTCTATTCTAGTAAAGTTGAACTACTTACATCAAACAACAGAGTAGACGTACCGATGAATTTCTACAACATAAAAAAAAACTATGTGCATGATGTCAAAGTTCACTAAGATCACTATATAAGGTTTCTATAACTCACTAAGCACATCTACGGTTCAAATCTTTGCCCTACAAGGCCTAATGAGCATTCTTTTATGATACCAGCTTCGACATATTGTTTCCTATCGCCCTTTTCAAACCAGAACTTGGGAGATTTCCCGTAAATCCAGTTCCAGTCCCTGAGGTCAGCAAGGTTCTTGGCCACTTGCTCATTTACTTCCACCTCCTTGTCAACGTCAACTTCACTGACGATACACTCCTGCAGGGAAAAGTACAAATTGTTGATTGCGAATCAGGCTGCGTTACCTCAAACTGATTCGAGAAATATTTTGTTATGGTTTCTCGTGCTGTTAAGACCTCTGCGGATGGATCATCCTGCTTCAGAAAGCCAACCGCTGGGGCTCGAACACTGCTGCTAGCATTAGTTCTAATGAAGTCCTGCAAAACAGAATCAAAAACTTCCTAAACATGAGAATAATCATGTTTCTTCCATTCTGTGACGTACACACTTCCGCTAAGAGATGCGGAAAGGGGGAGGGAAAGCCCCACGAATGGGTCGCGAGATTTTTGGAGATGGTATCAATGAGTCATAAATCGGAAAGTCGTATAAGGAACTTACTTTGTATTTATCACCAGTGCATTTTTATGATTTATGAAAAAATTAATTAGCTGAACAAAAAATTTTCGGATTCGCTGATAGCCACTTCGACACCTTTTTTGATTTTCGGGGTTATAGGCCAGTAACAAAATTTGGAAGACATCTCACATATGCTTCTGTGGTTGGCTGAAGCCTTATTTGAATGAACTTTTGCCCTCTCCCGTTCATGATCTAATTCAAGATGACACACATTGAAATGACGGAGTTACCTTATATGGAGATCGTAGAGAAGTCGATAACACCATTAGATCGGCTTGAACAAGTAGTGTAAGATGATGGTATGCTCTACCCTTTGTTATCCTAGCAGCTGTACCAGAACATTTCCTGCAACCTGGCTGCAG